GTATACTATGCACACACAATTTATTTTTCAATCAATTTGGGCAACCCTAGGCACAAAGACGAAAGTCACTAAATGCAGATGCATGCCAATGGTGCTATTCTTCTCAATGTGGAAATGAGTTCCTCAGACAGTCCTTGAAGGCCTCCTTGACCTTCTCATTTCTCAGAGAATAAATAAAAGGATTCAATAATGGGATACTAGTTCCGTGGAAAACTGCAACTGCTTTTTGGACTTGTGAACATCCTTTGCTGGGTATAGAGTACATGAAGATAGCATTGCCATAGAAAATGCTAGCTACTGTAATGTGAGAAGCACAGGTGGAAAAGGTTTTCTTTTGACCTTTGGTGGAGTCCATCCGTAGGATGGTGGAAATAATGTAGAGGTATGAGAACCCATTGACAGATAAGGAGCTGAGCATCAACACTGAGGAGAAAAAGGTCTCACAGATTAAGAGGAAATGGACATTCTTGCTGCAAGAAAGCTTTATAATTGGGGCGTAATCACAGAAAAAATGGTCAATGAGATTTGAGCCACAGAAGGAGAGATGGAAAAGGAAAGGCACTGGAACAAAGAGGAGAAGGAATGCCCCAACCCAGCAGCCCAGGACCAAGAAGACGCAGAGACGTTTGTTCATAATGGTGGCATAGCGCAGTGGATAGCAGATAGCAACATAGCGATCAAATGCCATCACAGCAATCAGACTGTTCTCACAGGTACCGAAGGAGAAGTAGAAATAACATTGGGCAATGCATCCCCCAAAGGAAATAGCTTTGTCCAAAGAAATCAGGCTTACTAGCATCTTTGGGCTGATTGTCAGGACGAAGAGGGTCTCCACAAGAGAGAGGTTGCAGAGGAAGAAGTACATAGGGGTTTGGAGATGCTGATCAAGGCATACCAGTGCAATGATGGTGAGGTTCCCAGGTAGCGTGAGCAGAAAAACAATTAGGAGCACTCCAAAAAGGAAACATTCCAAGGGCTTAGAAAGTTGGAAACCAACTAAGATGAACTCCATCA